TCCTCTTTTAATGTTTGTGATCTTACACCTTTTGTAGGGACTAATGACATGGATGAGGATGAAGATTTGAGGATGAATCCTTCTCAAGAAGGAGGGGATGATGGAGGACCATCCTTGAAGCATCATATAGGGCCTATCACAAGGTCCATGGCTAGGAGGGTAGAGGAAGATGAAGAACACACCACACCAAAAAGCCATAATCATCATGTGTGTGGATTTTGAGCCCTCTCCTTAGTTTGTTGTTTTCTTTTCCTATTTTGCCCTTGTATTTTGGGGTACATTAGATATTAGGGTTTTATTTTGTATTTCTATTTAGCCTTTGTATTATGGGGAAAAATTAGTCTTAGGATTTATTTTAGGACTTAAACCTTCTTTTATAAGGTCAAAGTCCATTTCTTTCTTTTCTAGGCCTAAGGGTACTTTAGTCTTTTAGAGAGATGGGAGCCATTTCATTTGGGATGCATTTAGGGTTCATTTAGGGTGTATTTGGACCTCAAAATTTCGGCCAAATTCTCCCAAGAAACCCTAGATGCCTTTCCTCTCTCTATAAGAACTCTAGGTCATCCACCTTGTAGCCACTTTGGAAATTAATGCTATTGAGTGAGCTTGGTGCCTCTTCATTCTTTCCTTAGTCCCCTAGGAACTCCACGGCCCCTTATCCTCTCCTCTCTTCCTAGAGTGAGCTTGGTTCTTCCTTGGTTGGCCTTCATCATCCTAAGTGAAGTGAGCTAGCCTAAAGGAGCTACACCACCAAACACCATCCATTTCTCTCCTTCATTTCATGTGTCACCCTTCACCTTCCCAAACATCAAATCCTCCACTTCCATACCCTTGAAGAGATCATCCTTCACATCATATCAACCTTGGAGAAGAGAAGGAATCAACCACTAACCCTCATGGAGAAGTTGGTTCCATCATGTGGTATCAGAGCCATAGTTGTCTTCAAAGGTAACTTGTCTCTTCTCTTTTGTGTCTTTTAAATGTTTCTTGTCATGTTTATGTCTTCTCATATGTCTTGATGTTATCCACTCAAATATTTCTTAAAATGTTGTCTTCTTGTTGAGTGGTTCATTGTTGGTTCATGAGCCTTCCTTGTTGTGCTCTACGTTTCCTTTAAAATAGGTTCTTGTGTGCTATTCTTCATTTTTCATCTTTGCTAGAAATTTTTTTCAAGAACATGATGAACACTTTATGAACTCGATTTTAATCTTTATTTGTCCAAGTTTTGTCTAAAGTTTGTGTTTCCCTCACCTTTTCCACCCAAATACCAAGTATATGCATCACACCTTCACTTGTTGTATGTAACATGGAAATGAATGATGCATGTTTCCTCTCCTAAGTGGCTGGCCAAAAATTTTGCATGTTCTTAGAGGTCATTCATGGGTGTTATTTAGTTCATGACATGTTCTAAAAGTTTTTTGAATCCCATGTGGGTTGTCTCCTATCCATGCATGGTTAGCCACTCCTACATGCTCATCATTACATGATCATCCCTTGTCCTTTGTATGACAACCAAGTAGTCTTTTTTGTGCTGAAAAATCTGCCAAGAATGTGTGTATGTTTGCTGAAAAAATCTGCACCAAATTAGTACATAGTACAAGACACATTCCACCTTACAAAAGTTGCTTTTTTGCATGCCACTTGTCTTTTTTGTCTCTTACTTTTTTGTGCTATTTTTAATTCACCCACAAGTGTAAAAACCAAGCAACATAACAAGATTAAAATTCAAAAAAAAAAACTAACCAAGGGGCTTCCAAAAGCTGGCATGAAAATACAAGAGAAAAAGGAAAAAAAAAATTAAGGGAATTTTTTGCTAGACTTGTGGACAATTACCATTTTTACCCTTGCACACTTGGAGTGGACTTGGACCAATATTTGGACCCATTTTATGACCAAAATCGTGGCTGGACATCAAGGAAAAGACCTCACATTAATTTTAAGGACAATGAACATTAAACACTTAATTCTATTTTAGAACCCTTCTAGGATTTCCCTTTGAGTGCTTGCCTTCGTAAATGTGCCTTAATTTTTTTGCTTGTCTTTCTTGAAACTCCTTGTGTTTTGTCTCATCAATATTACTCTGGAATTTAGCCTTCCTAATTGAGCATTTTTAGTTTTTATTTCTTTGGCCTCCTTTCTTGCTCTTGGTGGTTTGTTTCACAAGGTCTAAGTGAAGTTGACGCACAAATGGAAGGAGAGGAGGGAGGTGTGTTTGGTGGTGAAGGTCCTTTAGGCTAGCTCACTTCACTTAGGGGAATGAAGGCCAACCAAGGAAGACCCAAGCTCACTCAAGGGAGAGAGGAGAGGATAGGGGGCCGTGGAGTTCCTAGGGGACTAAAGAAGGAATGAAGAGGCACAAAGGCTCACTCAAGTTCATTAATTTTCACAGTGGCTACAAGGTGGATGACCTAGAGTACTTATAGAGAGAGGAAAGGCATATAGGGTTTCTTGGGAGAATTTGGCCGAAATTTTGAGGTCCAAATACACCCTAAATGAACCCTAAATGCATCCCAAATGAAATGGCTGCCATCTCTCTAAAAGACTAAAGTACCCTTAGGTCTAGAAAAAGAAAGAAATGGACTTTGACCTTATAAAATAAGGTTTAAGTCCTAAAATAAATCCTAAGACTAATTTTGCCCCATAATAAAAAGGCTAAATAGAAATACAAAATAAAATCCTAATATCTAATGTACCCCCAAAATACAAGGGCAAAATAGGAAAAAAAACAACAAACTAAGGAGAGGGCTCAAAATTCACACACATGATGATCATGGCTTTTGGTGTGGTGTGTTTTTCATCTTCCTCTACCCTCTTAGCCATGGACCTTGTGATAGGCCCTATATGATGCTTCAAGGATGGTCTTCCATAATAAAGGGCTGCCAAAACGCGTCCTGCACGCATTTGGGAAGATTCTCTTTTAAAAGGTTTGCTTTAGAGGTTCTAAATTATTATCTTTTATTTATTCTTTTGCTTATTTTTTTATTATTTTATTTATTGTTTTATTCATTATTTTATTTCTTTATTTATCATTTTATTTCTTTTATTTATAATTCTTATATACCAATAAATAATCATGTAGATAATAGGTATTTATTTGTCATGTAAATAATATTAAATTATAAAAATGGATAAGATATTTAAAATATTATTTATTATTATGCTAATTTCATCATAGGGTACCAATTTAGGGCGTTGTAGGGGTGTCTATTACCTTTCCTATACGTAACCGACCCTAAAACCCAATTTTGGCTATGAAGACCTTTGTTTTAATTTCAAAATCTTTTATTTTTCCAATGTTTTGAGTAAAACATTGGTGGCAACTCCATGAACTCATTTTTCAAAACCATTAATTAAGGATTAGTCTGTTTTTCGAGCATTCCCTAATTGACGAGATTTTTCAAAAGGTAGTCCAAACTATTGGTCGTAAGATCAAAATTTTTTAGGTTACAACATTGGTAACTAACGGTTTCGGCATTTTTTTTCCTTTACCCACTTGGATTGTAACTGGTTTAACCTTTAAGCATGCCTCGCTCCAAAGTGCAAGCTCGGTTACCAACGGCTTACTCGCCATTATTTTTGACTAATGCACATAGGTTAGTTTCCCTTTTTATTCTTATTTATTTATTTACAAGGAAGGAATAATGTTTTAGATAAATTCCATGCAAAGAGAGCTAAGGATTGATAAATATTAGTCTCATTGATTTGTTTATCGGTGAATGCTTAAATAGATTTTGATAGTATTGAGCGAGAATCTAAAGAGATTTTAAGGTGGCTGATGTTTGTGTGAAATGTCGTACTCTCTTTTATTTTTTCTCTTTGTTTTTTTCTTGACTTTTTGTCACAGTGGGCTTTTTGCAAACAGTTCAAATTAGATTCCAAAATGACTTGTTTCAACAAACATATCAAAACACATGTCCAACCATAATATTTTCAAAATTGATTTGGGCCTTTCTTTAAAGCCCAGATACTGTCGTATATTAAAACATTCATCTTTCTTAATTGTCTATGTATGACGCTACCTAATACTTCGATAATCTAAGGAAAATAAATGCATGGCGGAGTAATGAGCTAGCCTAAAAATGCATGACATTTTTTTTGCCTATGGTTTATCATGTTTTTTGTTATCAAAGGAGGTATGATGCATGATGAAAAAATGTCTTTTTATTCATCATTTTAAAAAAAAAATTACCTAATGATGTTAATGGAATGATGGCCTAAGAATGTACAAAGGGGTATAAATTTCTTTATTTTTTATTTCTTTTATTATCTATTTGCTTGTTTTAAAATTCCAATCCACTCTTATTGAAAACAAATAATGTAAACAAAAAATGCAACACACAAATGCTCAAACAACATACACCCATGAATAGTCACGTTCTAATCCATGGCCTAGGGTCCTTCTTTATGCACATTCATTACAATACTCAAATGTTTAATATGCAAATCAAAGTTAGAGCTATAAATCAAAATATCAACAAAATACACCACAATAAACTTGCCTAAAAATTCCCCTAAAACATAGTTCATCAATTTCATGAAAGTTCTTGGGGCATTTGTTCACTCAAAGGGCATCACCAACCACTCATATAAACCATACTTAATTTTAAAGATAGTTTTTCATTCATCCCGTTCCTTTATCCTAATTTGATGGTACCCACTTTTCAAATCAATTTTAGAAAATATGCAAGCACCATGTAATTGTAGACACACAATTTTGTCTGGGACATCCGAACAAGACAGAAGGCCCTTGAGGGTCGAACACAACACTAGAACGGATTAGAACAACATCAGAAGGCCCTTAAGCTCAATAAGGCCAAACTAGGAGCTTTGAACGGGTCATTCCAAACTCAGAAAAGACCATTCCAAACCACCCAAATGGCCTGAAAACCCAAGGTCAAAATGGGTTATTCTCAATCCAGAACGGGCCGTTTTGACTCAGGTTGTTATAAACAAAATATATGTTTGGAATGAGTTATTTAAATATTGAAACGGGTCATTCCAAATTTAAAATTTTCTCAAAACAAACTCATTTGGAACGGCCCCGTTTCGATACTCAAAATGCTCATTCTAGTTGAGTTAGAAACCTATAAATAGGCATCTCGAGCACAATGCAAGGGGACCGGAGTTGGATCAAAAAAGAAACGATTTTTGACCCATTTTCAGTAGTTTAAATTTTAAAACACTTCTCTCTCTCTCCCTCCTTTGTATTTCTTGAGTGTTGTGAAGACTTTTGTAGAGCGAAGGGCTGCTAAAATGCACGTGCCTTTAAGACAACATTTGAAGATTTTTATAAAGCTTGCCTCGTAGGTATCTTCACCAATTCCATCTCTCTTCTTTATTTAAATTATCCTGTTCATATGATATTTCCATGAGTAGATAATAATCATGTAGATAACATCTTTTCAAACGCTTAGGGTTTAAATTCCTTTACTTTTATAAATATTTGTAAAAAGAACAATGTGTAAATAATTAATAAAAATGAGAGAAATATTTAAATTATTATTCTTTATTGTGCTAAATTCATTATAGGGTACCGAATTAGGGCATTGTAGGGTGCCTAACACCTTCCCTACAGGTTGTAGATACCCAATTTCGTCTAGGATACCAAAAATGACTACTAAAACAGGGCAAGATGACTTTGAAGGCCCAACATGACATTAGAATGGACTTGAATAACATCAAAATGCCCAAAGATTAAAAAAAGCCAAACTAGGAGCTCGGAATAAGGCGTTCCCAATTTGAAATGGGCCATTCCAAAGCAATCAAATGGCCTAAAAACCCTAGGTCAAAACGAGTCATTCCCAATCCAGAACGAGTCATTTTGACCCAGGTTGTTATAAACAAAATGATAGTTTGGAATAGGTTGTCTCGATTTTGGAATCTTGTTCCGAACTCAAATTTTGTTCATAACAAACCAACCCGGAATGTCCCGTTCTGATGACCAAAATGGCTTTTTCGGTTGGTTTTGACGCCTACAAATAAGTGTCTCGTGCACAATGCAAAGGGACCGAAGTGAAAAGGAAAAAATGATAACTTTTGACTTATTCTCCAATTTTAGTTCAAAAAGACTATCTTTTTCTTCTCTTTTGTATTTCTGGAGTTATTATGAGGATTGTTGTAGAGTGAAAGGCTGCCAAAAAGTACCTAGACCCCATATTTCAAAGAAGATTCTATAAAAGCTTACTTCAAAGGTACTATCACCAATTCTTCCTCTCTTTTATTGTTTATTTATATGTTATTGCCATAAATACCAAATAACCATGTAGATATAATATTTTCAAACGCTTGGGGTTTCAAACCCATATTATTGTAAGCAATTGTAATATAAAATGATATGTAAATAATTAATAAAAAGGGTAAATATTTAAGTTGTTGTTTATTATTATGCTAAATTCATCATAGGTATTGACTTAGGGCATTGTAGGGTGTCTAACACCTTTCTTACACGTAATTGAGCCCGAAACCCAATTATGGCTTGAAAGGCCCAAGTTGATCCTCACATAGGCCCCACCTTGAGATATCCACTTTCTTCTATGTTGTAAATATTATATTAGTATAGGTTTCATATGTTTTGGTCTTGTATTTTGGACCACATAGATTAGCATGCCATAGGCTTATTGGGCCTATTTTTGGGCTTCATGGGCCTTTGGGCTTTTGGTACCCAATATTGGGCTTATTTTGTTTCTTTTATTATTTCCTAATATTTGTGATAGGTTGGCCATTATATTTAGGCCCTTAGAATAGGAATATTGGAATACTAAAATAGGCCAAGAAGCTAAAATCTAGGTTTCATTTAGTAGTCATTTGAGATGCATTTGGATCACATGTTTCTTGCCAAGCATGGCTGAACATGTGCACCTCCAAATGCACTTTAAATGTCTCCTAAATGACATTTAGATGCATGGCAGCCCTAGTTTCAAGGAATTGCACATGGTGGCCATGGATTTGAATTTAAATTTTCATTTTGAAATTTGGATTCTTGGCGCCAAATGTGATTTGTGAAGTTGGTGCCACCTACACTACAAGAAAAATTGGTATTTCAGACGGCCAAAATCCGTGGGAAATGCCCAAAATCCGTGGGTAATGAGGTATTTCCGACGGATTACCGACGGACATCAATCCGTCGGTAAATTGGTCGTCTGAAATATTACCGACGGATTTTTATCCGTGGGTAACTTTCCCACGGAAATCAAGTGATATAGTTGTTCTAGTTTAACTAATAATAAATTTATATTCTTAAGTATGAACTCGGCAAGAGAAGTTTAATTGCAACCTACATTATTCCTATCTTTATCCAATTTCGCACCCCACCAAAATTGTGTTCTGCGGTGGTAAAGCAAACTAAAATCACTTCTCTCAACAGTTTGGTGGTTTTTGCATGATTGCACCAATAGCCTTTTTCCTGGTTTGCCTTATTGTTTTCAATTGTCTTTATCATAGAGGGCAAGATAGTACAAAGGACAGTTAAACAGGAATAAGAGCATACTTGAATAGTGTTAGCCTCGTTATTTATTAGGAAGCACAAACACCAATTGCCTTCACTCATTATAGACACAGTTTATATATTAATTAATATATAATTCAATACAATATATAATTCATTGATTAACACTATTAATTACACAAAACTAAACTGGAATAAAATTGAGAATCAAGAAGTATTTATTGTATTAACATTATATTATAACTAGAACGTAATTATTATCTTTGAATATAAAAAATTAGAATATCAACACCTAAATCAACAAACAGACCCACATCCATATTAACAAAATATAAGTGTATATTTCATAAAACTTGAATTTACCTTAAAGCGTTGAAAGAAAATATCTTTATCAGCCGGGGGAATTTCTCCCCATGTGACCCAGGGTGCATGATATTGCTGCTTAATGGTCCGTGTGATAGCACTTGATGCAATCTTTGATGGGAGAAACCTACACAAAACAAAGACAATATTTTAAACCTTAATAAACATAAATTTACTTATAATTAAGAAATTATGTAAATATTAATTTATTCTTACCCATTACGAGTAGGTTTAATTAAAGGAAGATCATCAAGTGGCGGGTCCTCATCATTTAAGTCTTCATTAGGTGTTCCTATATCATCTGGGGATGGAGCTGGTGTGGATGTAACACCTGGGGATGGAGATGGTGTAGAATGAATACCTACGGATGGGGATGACATAGAACCAATAACGTTTAAAAAATATAGAGATGCAAGAAATAAAAGAGATTAGACAACAAAATATTGCTCTAACATCTAACAATATAATAGGAAAGAAAACTATAGATAGGGAAGAATAAGGATTAACTAATTTTGGAAACAATTTTTTTAGTCATCATATAAATATATCATGCATCAGCCACTATCAAGATTGCATGCAACACCAGAGCTACGAATCAATGATGCAGTATTGAATTATTGTGCCTGGTGCTAAAGCTATACATAATTAGAAAAATTCAACTTAATCAATTATTCACTACATTAAAACGAAGGTATCATTACATGTAAGCACACTTTGATTCTCTTTTCTTATATGTAGAATAAAATCTCCTATAACTATTTGTATTTATTGCAATAAAATCTTCTTGTTTTCTCATCAGAGAGCCAAAGGATGCACATAGCTTCTGACAAGAAGGGCAATGATTTTACTCGTGCCTCACTGTCACAAGTTTTGATGTTCAAGGAATTTCCTCAGGAGTTGGTTCAAGGTGTGAATAAGGGAATAATGGGGTGTCGAGGCAGTGGTTACTGTTAACAAATGATGTAAACTTAAATTTGTGTTTTCAACTGCATCTAAACAGATGTCAAGAAGAAAAAAGTATTAACTAATGACTAATCAATTGAATAACCAACATGAGGCGGCCCTCTTATCAGCGAAAATCGATAATATGGACAAAATTAAAACTGTTCCCTAAACAAGGGTGAGTTGATTGAACAAAAATTACGCAAAAAATAAAGGGCCAAATTAGCAAGCATATTGGCTCCGCCCCTCCATCAGAATTAGACATTGCCAAATTTCAGTGTTTTCCAAAATATAAACAAAAATTATGCAAACCACAAATTAAACGAAACCCTAACGCGCAATTTAACAAATAAAGAAATAAAAGGAGAAATTGCATCAATAATGGGACCAAAAACATTCAATCTATCAACAATGTAATCACCTGCAATGAGATGAGACCACAAAAAGCCACAAGGAGCCACACGGACGGAGGAGGAGAAACTTCCCTTTCCACGAAAATGAGCCACCTTCAGCGCGCGACTAAGTGCTTTGGGCATATAAAACATAAGACACACCTTTTTTTAAAAAAATAATTATTAAATATATTAGTATTATATTAAACTTTTAAATTTATTTTAAATTTTATCTATAACTATTATACAAAATATATTAAGGTTATGTAATTATTTTTGGTCTTCACTTTTTAGTAGACCATTATATTTTTAGATTTAAAAAAATTAATTTAATTATAAAATAAACAATCTAAATTATATTTATAAAATAAAAATAAGATAAAATTATAAAGATTAAAATTATAAAATTTTAATAATGATATAAGACATTAAAAAAGAAAAGAATTAATAAATAATATAAATAAAAATTTATTAAAATTACAATATAGAAATTCAAAAATTTAAGATAAAAAGACAAAAATATACATAAAAAATTATTCAAATAAAAATATAAAAATTTAAATATTTTAAGTAAAAAGACAAAAATATACTTAAAAATATTAAAATTAAACTATTTAAATATATAACCATATATAAAAGTAACTATAGAAATCTTTTTCGCTGTTTATTCGTTGAAGATAATTAAAAACTTATATACTAAATCGTTCAAGATATAATTAAATAACATTAAATTTTTCGCCAGAAAATAAAAGCTTGAAACGTAAAACCTGCGTTGTAAAACAAAAAAAAAAGGAAACATGAAACCTGCATGAGCTAGTGGTGCGTTTAATTAGATAATAAGCTCTTACATCAGGTAGAAGAATGAAGCTTATCACGAGTCGATATCGCTTATAGCGTCGAAAATTCGCTAGCAACTTATTTTTTTTTCTTTTCAAATTTTATATTATTAATTTATTTAAATATTAATTTTATATTTCTGTTATTAAAAAAAATTATTTAATTTCAATAAATTATTTATTTTATTTTCTTTTATTCTTATTTATATTATTAACTTTTTTTAAGTTTTATTTTTAAATTTATGTTTTATTCCATTTTATTTTTAAATATTTTTTCCTTTTAATTATTTTTTCTTTTTAATAAATAAAATACAGAAAAGATAAATATATAAATATAGATTTATAAAAAATTCATAAAATAAATTAAAAAGTGAAAAAAATATATTAAGTAAATAATAGTGTCGCTATATATAGGCCATAGCGCCACTTTCACAAATTCGTATTTTTTAAAATAAAAACTATTTACTTATTTTTTATATTTTTTTTAATATTAAAAATGGGGCGCTGTAAGCTATACCGACTTCATTGAAGTCGTTTTGTGTCGCTATGGGCTATAGCGACATTATTAATATGACTTTCATGGCTTCCTTGGAGTTTAAAAATTCCACGTGGCATGCGTGTCGCTATGGGCCATAGTGACACAGTTATAAACAACCCCAAAGACTTATTATTTTTACTTATAATATAGAAACTTACATTTATATAGTTTTGAAGAGATGAGTGAGAATTTAAACCTATATTATACTCCTCTTTTCGTTTTTACAAACAAAAAAGAAAAACATGCATTTCTAGTTCTTAAATATAAATAAATTTAACTTCTTTTGCATTATTCAATGATATCTTTTCTAAAATATTAATTCTTAATGCATGATCTTTTATTTGTATTATTTCTTTTGACATTTATAATTAATAAAGACAATTTAAGAATAATCTTATAGAAATAATAAAATTTAATAAAATAACTAATTTTTTTAATATATGTAAAATATATTATTTTTACTTATAATAGAAAAAAGAGAAAATATATGTTATATTCTTTGTACATATAATATAGGGAGTTTTATTTTGTCTTTCAATTAAAAAATTTCATCATAATAACTATTACAAGAAAAATTAGTTAAAAGTCATATTCTATTTTATTTAATAATTTCAGACGGATTGTAATTGGTGGGAAACTTCGTCAAAATTTTCAGACGGATTTAAATCCGTGGGAAATTCCGTGGGAAATTTCCCACGGATCCAAATCCGTGGGAAATTTCCCACGGATTTTGGTCCGTGGGAAATAATCCGTGGGAAATTTGACTTTTTCTTGTAGTGCTAGCTTGCTTCTGGTTCTATAAATACATGTTCCTTCACTCTTTGTAAACACTTTTGAATATTTTGAGAAATATGAACTTTGCATTCAGCCAATTCTCTCTCAAAAGTCCCTTAGAACCTTGCTTAGCCTTAGGAATTCCTAGAACTTCTAGGTGGATCCGTGAGCAATCCTTTGCTCTTCTAGGCTAGAGTGCTTCCTTCCTTGGTTTGGATCCTTCCAAATCCGAATCCATCTTCATTTTTCCTCCAGAATTGCAATCAAGGACGAAGATCTTGTGAGGAGCAAGGCTAGGGAGAATCATCCATTCATCTTTCCTACCTAGTTCCATCATTATGCCTAACATTTCTGAATTTAAGCATAAGGATGCATAGGCTAAAGCTAATTATGTGAAGAAGCTGTATGAGCGTGTGAAAGCCCAAACTAAAAAGAAAATTGAGAGTTATGATAAATATGACAACAAGGGCAGAAAGAAAGTTGTTTTTGAACCTGGTGATTAGGTTTGGATACACATGAGGAAGGTGAGGTTTCCTAAACATAGAAAGTTCAAGCTTCAACCTAGAAGAGATAGGCCTTTCCAAGTTCTACAGAGGATCAATGATAATGCTTACAAGATTGATTTACAAGGTGAGTATGGTGTAAGTGATTCTTATAATGTGGCTGACTTAACTCCTTTTAACGTAGGAGATGATATCAGAGATTTGAGGGAAAATGCTTCCCAAGAAGGAGGAAATGATGAGGACATTGAGGTTGCCCAAGGACCAACTGATAAAGATCCAACCTATGAAGGAAAAGATCTTTTTTGTGACATTAGAGGTCCGATGACAAGATCCAAGATGAAGAGGATGAAGCAAGCTCTACATGGCTAATTATGAAGATCAAGGAAGCTTCAGATCAAAGTTTAGAGGTTGTACCAAAATGGATCACTTTACTAAGAGTTGGTAAAGACTTGAGCCCAAATTAAAGACAACATGACAAGGCCAAAGTCATATGATCAAGAAGAAGCATTAACAAGTTGAAGTTTAAGTAGTTTGGGGTTGAATAATTAATTAAGTCCATTTTCTTATTTTTTTTTTTAATGTAATTTTCATTTTTTTATTTTATTAAATAAGTTAGATGGTTTTCCATATTACCTAGGCCAATATTTAGTGTTTTAGGCTTCTTAGTGAAAAATAAAAGTTAGCGGGGCTTTAATGCCTAGTGAAGACTTAGTGGAAATTAATGAGAGGATGCGTATCTTAGTCTATAAATAGGAAGCTTTTATAATCATTCAGGCAAGCTTGAATTTTAAAACAAACACTTGTGTTGAGTGAGTATTCTCTAAGTTCTAGGCTGAACCAAGATTCTAACTTATTAGGGGCTTTTCATCTTCGTTGTGACGTCTTTCGTAGCTTATCTTCCTTTGTTGGAAGTAGTGCCTTTGTCATAATCTGTATCAAACAATCCATACAAGAATCACGCCATCTAAGCCTTAGCCTTGGAGCCTTAGTTTCAGATCTCAACTTCAATTGACATATCAACATGCTCGTTGAAAGAAGAAAAAAAATAGTTAAAAATGCTATCATTAAAAATAATACCTAAAGACATTCTCCTCACAAAATTATTTTAATTTATGCATAAATACTTAAAAATAATAATTAAATTACGCTTTTGATCTCTCTATTTTTATTAATCCACAATTTTAGTCTACTATTTTAAAATAGAATAATTTAGTCCCTCTATTTTTAAAAATATGAAATTTTGGTCTTAATATCAATTTAAAATTTGTTAATCATTAACTTTTGACATTGTTCAATCACTTTTCATCACTTAAGTGATATGATATTTAGTAATGCAAATAAAAATTAAAAAATAACATACAAAAATATCTATTTATATTTATTTAAACGAGGGATAAATATTTATTTTATTAATAAATCTTATTTTACAATTTTTTATTACTAATTATCATGTTATTAAATATCACATCACTTAAGTATAAATAAACATTAAAATTTAACAATTAATAAATATCAATTTGATTAAAAAACTTAAATTTTATATTTTTAAAATTAAATATATTTAGTTTAAAATAAAAAAATTAAAATTATAGACCCATAAAAATAGATAGAACAAATATACAACTTATTGAATAAATTATCAAAGCAAGAATAAAAGGCACAAAATAAAACAAGAGAGAAAGCCCAAGTATTGGGCCCAAAAAATCCCGGCCCTATAATTATTTCTAAAAAAAATAAAGAAAAAAAGAAAAAAGCGTGGAAAAATATTCCAGCCATTGCGAGGGAGATGAAGAACTGGTGGTGGGAGTGACAGCAACGCCATATCCACATTGCGTTTCGCTTAAACGCTTTTTTATCTCTTCTCCGAACTTCAACCACCGTTTCATGGACTCTCTTTTTCTATCCCTCACTCAACGCAACCAAACAACGCTATGGGTTTCGGTTTCGGTCTCAGGCTAAACCCTAGGCTCAGACATTGTCTCCCTCTCCACACTCCTCATTCCTTCACCAATTCGCCCTTTTCGCTTTCTTCATCTTCTGGTCACTTCTCTTCTTTCCTTTTACATCTTTATCATCAATCATCATAATCGTGATAGTGATAATAATAATTATGATATTTTATTGTTGTTGCTAATTTTTATTTCACTGTGTGATTTATATGAATGATATGTTATGAGCCAACGTGGACATAGAATGCGAATTCGTATGAATTGAATCCGATGCATTATGGATGCGTAGCATGTTGTTTTTAGTATTTATGAAGGTTTTATATGTGGAAGTATGTATGAATTGAATCCTGTGTAGTGTGGGTTTGATGGATAAATTAGGAAGATAGAGGAAAAGAAGAGAAAATAAGAAAGTGCATAAATCAAAGCATGTGCGAGAGCGGAATAGAAAATGGTAGTTTCAGAGTAAAGAGGTTATAAAAATTTGGAGAACGTAGAGTTAACACTATAAAAAAGGTAACTCTATAACAGTTAAAGGGTAAAATAGGTAACTAATATGAGCATAATAAATTTTTTCGAAGCACTTCTAAGAAGAGAAAAAAAATTCTTAATAAGTTAAAATTAATTTATGCAAAGTTAAAAATAAGTTTTTGAAAAAAAGTAATAAGAGAGTACTTTTACAATTAACTAATTCATAAGGTAATTAATAAGAGATTACTTTTACAATTAACTAATCCATGCGACCTTATATCAAAATAGAGTATTTCCTTCAAAAAAAAAATTTTGTCATAGATTATAGATTATAGAAAATTATATATTATTTGGACAGTTTATACTTGACAAACAATAATTTTTTTAACGAGTGCTTTTCTTCAGTATTGTGTTTGTATTTCCATTCTATTGTTTTAAAGTTTGGGTAAAATATGGTGCAGCTGGAGTCAGGGAAACTTGTTTCAACACCACGAGGTTATCTTTACCCTCAACATTTTATGAGGAAGGCGAAGCTCTGCAAAAAGATTTTGGAAGGGTTTTCGCATTTTCGTCGTCTGCCTTGGAAACCCTGGAAAATGATTCATTACCAAGAGTAGAAACTGAGGTTCAACATAATACTTTATGACAAGCCTTTTGATTTTCCTTTTTGACTGTAACAATGCATGTGCATTATTATAATAGGATTTGACTCGTGTAAAGGAAAGTAAGGATGTATTTATTCTTAATTTGAATTAAAATATCTCATAACTTGCATTCAGTACTATATACTTACTCCTCACTTTAGAAGAGTCTAATCTATTATATTTATAGTTAAATAAAGGTCTTACAAGATGTTAATTTCCCAGGTAAACAAAAGAAAGAGATCACTGAGTAGTGTGTTTGATAATACTCAAATGTCTTTTGGAGAGGTATCTGCCGTCTCTTCAAAGTTTGAGTCATTCGGGGCATCGCATTTTCGTTTGTTAATGGAGAACCTAAGTGTTTTAGAAGAAACTTTTGCTGATTCTGAAGCACTGAGGTTGGAAAAGGATATTGTATTGCAACTGGAAAAGCTTGGTGCACTCGAGTTATTCAATGTTTGTCTATCAAGATCTCTTGGAACATCACTTGTATCGGACTACACTAATAAAGTGGATGACAACAAGGGCAAAGTTGTTGTTCAGTCTAGCAGGAAGAAGGAAAATAAATCAAGAAGAAAAAGAGTTTCTAATGCCACAACAGTTTCATCCCCATCATTGACTCTAAAAGTTGATCAGGAAGATCTGTTACGTTTCTCAGCTTCATTTGTGAAAAGAGCATCAAACACTAAAAACAAAAGAATAATGGTTGCTAAAAGGGAGGCAGAGATGTCAAAAGGAGTAAAGGTTAGTGTATTATCAAGAAAATAGTGGGATTTTGTGCCACGATTGTAAATTACGTAAGCATTAAAATTATGTACTACTGTAGGTGCTAGCTCAGTTAGAGAAAATTAGAACAGCTATAGAAGAGGATACCAAGCGAGTAGCAAGCTTGAGTAGCTGGGCAGAGGCGTCTGGAGTTGATGAGAAAGTGCTACAGCAGCTATTGCATCATGGCCATTATTGCCGGGATGAACTCATACGGAGTACTCGTTCCTTAGTTCTATACCTTGCTAGAAAATACAGGGGTATGGGAATAGCTTTGGATGATTTACTTCAGGTTTGTTCCAAATGTCATTGTGCATGCTTTTGTTTGTTATTTGTCATTGTTATTGCTGAGAACAAATTTCTATTTGTATTTTACCTGTTCGTGCTTCATCATATAGAGTTGTCATATTATGTCTCAAAACCTGAGTTCCTGATTAAGAGTTGATATTTTATAGCACCAACAACGAACAACTTGTGAGAATTAAAATCACTGCAAATAATTCAAGATATGTGTATCTGTACGGGAGGGAGGGTGGGATGGATATGGAGTCGATTGTATCAGACATGCAGAGAGGGATAGGATAAATTACACTTTTCCGTTCATAAAGTTTTCATCTTAGTCAATTTCAGTGCACCCACAGTTTATACCCTCTTATTTAGAAACAATTATTACTATATGGGATTTTTTTCTTTTTTCCTTTCATTATAAAGCACTCAGATTTTACCATGATGCATTGAAATTCATATTCTCAAGTCTCAACTTGGTAAAACATACCTATGGAAAGATTGTGTTCTGTGGACAAGCTGCAAATAGAAAATTATTAGATGGAAAAAATGCACTAAGACCTTGAATTTAGTGAAGAAAATGATTATGGGCATGGCCAATGGTGTCTCTTCTTTAGTTTTACCCATAATATTAATTTCAGTGTCCCCAGAATCTTCAAGGGTCTGAAACATGAGATTGTTGCTTTCTTCTTTTTCTTTTTCTTCCGGCAGGATGGGGGGAGGTTATATTATAAAATAAAATTTTAAATGCTCAATTACGGTGATTAGCAAGATAACTAAAGGGGATATGTAATTTGGCAATATATATGGCATTGCCTGCATAGTGTTAGAAAGAAAACATGAAAAGATAAGCCATAAGCAAAATCTTAAATAGGCAGTCATTTGGCAGATGACTTTGAATTTTTAGTGAAAAAAGAATCATCATGGGCATGGCAAATGACTTTCCCATTTTAGTCTTAATTAATATGAATTTTAGTGTTCCCGGAATCTTCAAGGAGTAAAAGGGGTCTGAAACATGTCACTGTTTTTGTGGGAGGGGGGAGGATTTGGCAATACATGCAGTGTCAGAAAGAGAAAAGCATTAAAAGCTAAAGTCATAGGCAATATCTTATATAGGAAGTTATTTGGCAGATGCCTAGGATATAGAGCCAAAACATCATAGGATTTAAGTCCTCTCTACCTAAAAGGTCATGCTAGAAATGATGTTTTTTGGTCGTTAGTTTTGTCATGGCTGCTAGACACATGCTTTTCTTTGGTGTTTTATGATATTTTTAGTAAGCAAAAAGGTTTTACTAACAGTAGAGTAGACAGATAACCTGGGCACAACTGGCACCCAATTACTTTTCTTTGTCTTATGATTTCCTAATGAGCATTTTTGTAAATATTATATATAATAACCTGGAAGGAAAATTGAAAGTCGTAAGGCACCATCATTGTTGCTTTGATCAAAGTTTTTATGAAGTTGACTAGAAGTAGAAATGTAGAATTAAATGTAACTAGCAACACCTGCCTGAATCCTATTTTGATTAGCTTTGCATTAACCCTTTGTTTTTTCTTTATATATCAAAGGCTGGATATGTAGGTGTGCTCCAAGGAGCTGAGAGATTTGACAGTACAAGGGGATACAAATTCTCAACCTATGTGCAGTATTGGGTTAGGAAATCAATTTCAAGAATGGTGGCACGATATGCTCGAGGAATCTTAATTCCTGTATGTTCTTCTTTTGCTTAGGAGATTGTTTCTTAGTACCAGTCTCATCCAAGACAACCTAAAATTTGATCCCCGTGTTCTTTTAATCTTTATTATCTTTTTTAGTGGTCATTGAACAGGGCAATCAATCAGATTCAGAAAACTCGAAAAGCCATGAAAAGTACCCACAAGAAATGTCCAGATGATTATGAAATTGCAAAGATGACAGGTCTTTCACTGGATAAAATCAAATCAGCTAGCAATTGTCTGAGAATAGTTGCTTCAATTGATCAGAAGGTGGGGGACTGCCTTGGTGTAGAATATATGGTAAGAGTAATATGATTTTCCCAATATTTACCTCTCATACCCGCTACTCATCAATTTTAATGTATGTTGTGATCTGACTAGTGATTTTTTGTTTAGTCATCATTGTCTGTCATTGAAGAAGAAACCAAAGTGAAAAGCCTTATAGTCTAGGGAGAATGGGATAGAAAGGCATCTTCCTTTTGGAAAAGGAAAAGAACTGCATTTTATTTGCTGTTATTAAGTTGTTTTACCTCTGTAAGTATTAAAAATGCACTCAAATAGTGAAAAGAGACGTACTCAAAATTGCATTGCAACGATAATTCTGAAAATCCACTGCCACGCAGCAGTAACACTAGGAATAAAAGCAGTAGCTAAGAACAGAGAATTAATCCCAAAATGGGCCTAAGGAAGAAAAGACGTACAATCCACCACCACCCAATTCCCTTCCTCTCTCCTCTTATATAGTTAGTTAATTTCCCACATGTAATCCTTGAGGTACGAATTCGTTATGCGCTGCCTCACTTTTTTGGACCCTTCCTTGATTTCATCACCTCCTGCCAAGTGTCCTTTATCAATTTCAGCCTCCTCACGTGTTTTGCCTTCTGCCTTGTCACGTTCATGCTCCTTATTGTTCAATGCATTCCTTACGTGCGTAACAACCTCACAGGATTTTGTTGATCATGTATGTCGGTATTTTCGTGTTTTGCCCAAATTAAGGTTGAACTACTGTTACTGCTTGTTGAGATATGTATTTTCTACTCACGAAGCTTACCTCACTTGTATAACTCAAAACCAGTTTTTTTGTTTTATTTTTTCATACAATTGATAGTCATGAAACTCCCTTTCCTATTGGGGTAGTTGGGTACCAAGTTTCCATCTTTCTGTTTTCCACTTAATATACAACCAATTATATGATGTGGTGACTTTCACCTATATAGAAATACTACAATTTCTTGAACAATTATCCTATAAATATTATATCAGGTATAAACTGTTTTGTGGCATTAATGCTGCAGGAACTTATGCCCGATGTGACAATAGAGAGTCCTGAAGAAGCTGTCATGAAGCAACATATGAGAAAAGACATAAAGGATCTTCTGAAAGGCTTGAACCCAAGGGAAAGGCAAATATTAACCCTACGCTTTGGCCTTAATGATAACCAGCCCAGGTCTCTTCAGGATATAGGGACCCTTTTCAAAGTTAGCAAAGAGAGGATAAGGAAGATAGAGAAAAAAGCTCTAACAAAGTTGCGGAGTGAAGCAACCTCCTCAAAGTTACATTATTATTTGGATCTGTAGTATACCTTTGGTCTTTGGTAAGCTTCAATAGCATATTTGTTTGATCTGGCTGTGAAGGATGTGTACAAATTCTTGGTCTTGGTTGGATGTGATATGTTAACGGTTTCCATCCTCTTGACCGTGTGTCTCCTACCAGGAAAAGCATTATCAGTTGTTACTAGTGCAGCATTTGACCACACCAAGATGTTTTGGATACACAGAAGGCTTCAAACTCTATTATGTTAATGATCTCTCATTTCCCTTTTGTGGGGTCATCCATGAAATCATGTGATTCTTGTAAATGGTTGTTCTTGATTGGGCCTTGAGAATGAATGACGTAGCTGCCTCTGAAGTTGTTTTTTTCCTTTCTCGGACTGGTAGGAGGCTTCCCACACTTGCCGTGTTCTTTGGCAAAAGACGTGGTTTCTTATAAGAATTGTGCTAGTATATTATGTATATTCAAAATACATGTTACATGGTATATTTGTAATAAATTTGCATTTTTTGGATGCATATTTTATCAGTACTTTTTTTATCCAGGACAAACATCATATTACAGAAATTGGGCAGGGGAAATTGCACTTTATGTCATTAAAAGGTTTAATTATGTCTTTATTTCTTTAAATTTGGGATATATATATATATATAAGTTAAAACTTGTGTTTCTAATCCTCAAAATACAAGTTTTTATATTGATATTTTTACTAGTGTTGGGGGCTAATTTGAAGAATTTTTTTTTTATACTTAAAAGGACTATATAGCATGATTTTAAACCCTTTCAGTCTCATTTATTGGCACTCCCCTGGCTTCTCAATCACTCAAACTCTATAAATCTTCCTTTTCTCCTATTCTATATCTCACAAAACCTCACTCATTCTCCCTAAAATCTCAAATTGTTCTCTTATTCTCTACAAGATTTCGTAGAAATGTCTTCTTCAAAGCAGCCTGGTGGGACTTAAGCACATTAGACACAAAGGAACGAGAAGGTTTTCCCAAAGAAGAGGAAAGTAGATTTTGAGTTGGTTAAATGGTATATAAAGGTTTATGATGTTTAGATTTGCAAGGAATCTTTTGCTACCAAGCAGTTGGTTACTATTAGGCACCTGAACCTTCAGTAGCTGGAAGATGAAGGCTTTGCTTTTCCTTATCTGATGATGATATTGTTTATTATGTGTCCTAAATCATTTACTATATGAGTTATACGATTGATATTACAAATTACCATGAATGGATCATGTAAAAATAAAGTATTCCAAGTGACGGTATCAACTAATTCAAAATGGTACAAGTGACAAATTCTGAAATAGCAAGTATTCTAGAACAGCTAATCCAGAATGTTGTGTTTTAGAACAATCATTTCGAAATGGTGTGTTATAAGACGGTCATTTTGGATTAGTTTAATGTGTTCTATAACACCCATAATATGAAAAATGGATTAAGGTAGGCAAAATTAAGTACACTGCATTGAGCCAGTAGATAACTATACTAAATTAAACCGAAAAGTCTGAACTAATTTGAATAAAAACTGAACTGAACCATTTTATGATTTAGTTTTGAAAATTTGAACTTTAAAAATTGCAGTTCAGTGCGCTGGTAAACTAACCGGAAAAAAACTTCGGTATATTTTTTACTTGTCAGTGACTCTCCTTTTGATGAATGAATTCGAGAAAAACATGTTGAATTGTTATTTTTGACTTTGAGGTCTTACATGCTGAACTCTTCTTGATTTGGTAAAATCCAGTGAGTCTTCGGTTACGTGCAATTATAATTATTTGCACTCAATCATGAGTTTCTTATCTTAAAATTTCATAAGAGGTGTAATGTACTATTAATTTGTAAAGATAAAAAATATTTAAATAAAGATATATAAATGTATCAAAATTTCTTTTTTATATAAATATTTTTATGCATTTTTCTTTTGGAAATATATACAAATAAATAGTTTATCAATCTTTTACTACTTTTATGTTTAGTAGAGAGATCAAATTATTATCTCTAATAGTTACACAGATAGAATATTAGATGATTGTACATAATTTATTTAAATAAATTTGAGAAGTTATTTTTTTTTATTTAACATTTGAGGCATATTATGGTTCACTAAAGAATGAAGACAAAACACGGTCATATATCATGATATTTCTTTTATAATAAATATAGAATATTGAATGAAATTTTGAAATGAATGAGAAAGATTTAATTTTAATAATTGAAATATTGTGAAAATTGAATATGAAAATTAAAATTATAAAAAAAATCACTCATAAAGTGATTCAAATTATTTTTAATTAACAAAATAAATAACAATATATAAAGGTCATTCATCCTTTTTGCATACACAAATTTTAAGATTTTTTAGCCTTTATTTATTAAAGTAATTGTACAATTCTTTTTAAAAGTAAAAGATAATTCAATAATCTTATTTTATTAATTTAAATAAAAATTATTATTGTTCAAAAATAAACTAAATCATAACTATTTTGCAACTTTCACATTCCAGAATATTTATAATGTACCGACTCACCTTAATTCTTAAACTGTGCAACACATCTACTAGCAGCAAAAAACATTTAACTTGAGACTATAGACTTATAGATACAAGAAACATGAATTGTACAACATGCATATAAAGGTGATCAATTAAATAAATATGTATAATATAAATACAATAATCCAATAAATGTAAACTATATATCTTAAGTTGTCGATCAAGCAACTACTACTACAATACACACCTACCCTCATCAGGTAGTCAACAAAACATCATCTAACTCATGTACCATTGAATGACCTCCATAGCAACACTCCAACCCTATCCCCACCATTCTCCTATACCACGTATGATCATCACAGTCCAAATCGATTATTTTGAGTCAGTTCTTAAAACTTCATTTTAAGTCTCAAAATAATTTTCCAATGTTTAACTCATCATCATCTACTCCCTACTTGATTCTAGACAAGATTTGCTCAATGCACAAAGCACACACAGACACAAATATAACAATTCATTCATAACAATTTGCTTCCTAAGCTCTATTACATAGCTATACTTCAAGGTATTTTTCTTGACTCTTCCTTGACTTTGTTTTTGTGTTCAATGTTGTTGTTGTACACTTGTTGTCTCCAAGTTGTTGTGATCATCAAAACTCTTAAGGTCTTCAGCTCCCCTAAGCTCAACAAACAAAACATCATCTAACTCATGTACCATTGAATGACCTCCATAGCAACACTCCAACCCTATCCCCACCATTCTCCTATACCACGTATGATCATCACAGTCCAAATCACATGGAAAAAATGTAAGAGTAAGTTAGAGTAAAAAAGAAAATATATATTCAACATGAAAACGTCACATCATTATCTCATCTTCAATAACACAACATGACATTACATTATACAACATAGATCAACACAACAATTTAAGTTCAACACAGCAACATATGTCATCACAAATCAACATCAAATATGAACAACACAATCAACTCAACACATCATATGCTTAGCACAACAACTATATGTGTGGTCGTGCATTTCAACTAAGAGATCTCTTACAACATAAGGTGAATAGTTTAAGTGGTTTGACCCCACCGAACTGACAACATAGTGTGATCTTTTTAGGCTTGCTAGATCAACAATAAAGTAGATATAAATCCACAACATAACAACTTGATTTCTCGAATGTTGCCACTTAAATAAGGAAGTATAGTACTCCTATCAAGGTAGAACAACTGGGTACGAGTCTATCACAACATTAGCTAGCTTAACTAAGCCTCTTATGGGATTAAGCCACTAACTATTCTCCAAATACTATACCCTTCCGATAATTGGTTAGGAACTAAGTTACTGACTTCATATTATACTCTTTTGGTCACTTGTAATATATAGCTTGACTTAATCCCTATATTGTGGTCACTTCATACACGTGTGCCTTGACCTTACCTACACATGTTACCAACAAAGTTTTAAAGGAGAAACAACACAATATCCACTTCAAGGATCAACTTCCCAAGAAGGGTTTTTAACAAATTGGGCTCTCGGAGCACCACAACACAATATCCACACAATGGGATATGAAACTTTCAAAAACCTCTCCTCTAGTTCAAAGTGGTCAACATAGCTCAACAACACATCATATACTCAACACAACTACACACACACTGGCATAACCAACATACAACTTTGTCAACACACGTCTTACAACTCATATCTACTTCTCAAACTAACAACTCACAACAAAATCATCACATACTACCTCATTACTGCAACTCATTCATCATATTTTCATTTAACAACTTTAAATCAACAAGGATTCAACACTTCATAAATTAAGACATCATATTCTCCTTCAACAACTAGTGCTCGATGTTACTCACTCTACGCTCAGCACCATCCAAGCAGGGAAGTTTTTGCCTCGCCCACCCGAAGCTATCCAACCCACCCTGGCATGCAAAGACAAAGGCTCTTGGGACCTTATGCCTGACATGGTAGAACACCATGCCTAGCCTCATCTCAAGTAGAAGTCTTTGCTTGATTTCACCCAACGTCACTACATCGACGCCTGACGAAATCCAGGTAAAGAGCTCTAACTTGACCACGTTGGGTGCTAGTTAACTTTGGGTCCCACATCACCAAGTCAAAGAGCTCTCAGGGCTCCCACGACCAACGCCATCCAAACCTCACCCGATGCCATTCCAACCCCAGATGAGTCTCTCTTTTTACACCTGACGCCACCAATCCTGCAATTAACATGAACGAGACAGAAAACCTCAAGTTAGACTAGTGTTTGATGCTTTGAAGGCACGTCTGATGCGACATCAAAATTTTACATATGAAGAACTTGATTTTGAGCCAAAATCTTAAATGCAGCAAAAATCTAACGCATGCAACAAGACATAATGTCTCTCCTCAACTCAAACAATTCAAATCATGCACAAAAAGCAACATAAAACAACAACATAAGCAAATCATCATAACTCCCCCTTCATGCAACTCAACCTTAACATTCACACATCACCATTTTAATCAATTCAATCATAACAATTTGGAATCCAACAACATTTCAGCACCAAAATCATCCAGCAACTTTAACATACAACAAGGAGAACAAAATCTAGCTTCCTTTACCTCGAGTAGCTTGAGTTTGAGGTAGAAGGGAAGAAAGATCAAGGCTTCACAACGAAATCAATGACTTGATTCAATGTTTCCACCACCTAAATCACAACAATACAACTTAGAAAATATTGGAAGAAGAAGAGGAGAAGATTGAGAGAAAAAGAGCTCATGAACCAGAGACTTTCTCTCTAAAATCCTCTCTTCTAAACTTTTGAGGGAAATGAGTTTATGAAGGTTTGTTTAAACATAAACCTTATATATTTTTCCTCTAGGATAAAACTGGATCTCTACCCAAATAAACCCTCTCTCAACACTGTCGCAACCCAAAAATTTCCGATCTTGCGACCTATCGTTTAGACATCTTTTTGAAAGTCTCATCAATTAAGGAATGCCCGGACGCTAGACTAATCCTTAATTAATGGTTTTGAAAATAA